TCTGCAAAAAGTGGCGCAGGCGCAAAGTTGATGAGCAAATGTATATAGCCTTTGTTAGGCCTTCTCATGTGCCTTCTATTTTTGTTGTAGATAATGATTCTACTTTGCATGCTGTTTCTACTTCCGATGCAACTACTTCTGCCTCTACTAAGCCTACTTCTAGTCCAAACGACTCTGCTTCAAATCTTGTTGTTTTGGCTACACCTATGCAATTCAGTATGCTTGCACCAGAACGTGATGATCCACCTCCGAATATTCCATCGGAAATCCGTAGCCTTCTCAACCGAGTTCCTGAAGTTTTGGCCGAACCGCATGGAGTCCCCGTGCGTCCGGTCCGACACAAGATTGAGTTAATAGAAGACAACACTTCTCCAAAAGGTTGTGTCTATCGAATGGGCTCAAGCGAATTGGAGGAGTTGCGTAGGCAGATCGATGACATGCTTGAAAAAGGATGGATCAAGCCAAGCGAATCCGAATTCGGTGCGCCAGTTTTGTTTGTTCCTAAGAAGGGAGGCAGACTACGGATGTATATTGATGAGCGCGGATTGAACAGAATAACCAGAAAGAATGCATACCATTTGCCACGCATTGACGATCCGCTTAATATTGCGCGTGGATGCAAGGTCTTCAGCAAGATCGATCTCAAGTCTGGTTACCACCATATTGAAGTCGCCCCTGCATACCAACATAAAACTGTATTCAAAACTCGCGATGGGTTGTACGAATTTACCGTTATGCCCTTCGGCCTTACGAATGCACCGGCCACCTTCCAAAGTCTCATGGACAAGGTGTTCCGCAATCAGATCAATCGATTTGTTGTTGTTTATTTGGATGACATACCAATCTTTAGCAAGTCGATGGAGGAGCATATGAGACACCTTGAGGAAGTGTTGCAGATCCTCAAGGATGCGCAACTCCACCTCAACTTAGAGAAATATGAGTTTGGGAGGGACAATGTTATCTACCTTGGACACCGGTTGTCCGTTACAGGCCTAGAGCCCGAGTCAACCAAAGTGGAGGTCATCCGCAAATGGCCGCAACCGACAAATATCTGAGAATTGCGTTTTTTTCTTGGTCTTGCATTGTACGACCGTAAGTTTGTACCCAAATTCTCTATCATCGCCCATCCATTGTCCAAATTGACAAGCAAGAACGTGTCTTACACGTGGGATGGGGAATGCACAACAGCCTTCCAAGCATTGAAGGAGGCTTTGGTGAGTCATACGGTGCTCCGCATTGCAGATCCCAAACTTGCATTCGTAGTAACTACTGATGCAAGCTTGTATGGGATTGGTGCAGTGCTGCAGCAAGATGATGGTGACGGCTTACGTCCACTTGAGTATTACAGCAAACGCATGCCCAATCACAAGGTAGCTGCCTCCACTTACATGTGAGAACTCTATGCCTTGAGAGAGGCACTAAATCATTGGAAACACTACCTCTTGGGTCGCCATTTCAAAGTGTTCTCGGACCATGGGACCTTGAAATGGATCCAGACACGGAATAATCCATCAACTACATTAACCCGCTGGCTGCATGAGATTACTGTGTATGATTTTGAACTTAAGCACAAGAAAGGTTGTTACAATCGCGTTCCGGATGCTTTGTCTCGCCATCCTGAGTACATGACTTGCCTTGTGGGTTTCTACGATCTCCATAAGAATTTGTAGGAGGAACTCATCAAGCATATTGCCAAGGACCCGAAACTCAGCCCCATCCTTGAGCAGATCTAGATTGACCCCAGCAGCCAGCCTGATTTCCACGAGTATAAAGGTTTGTTTTCCGACATTACGGGAAGTACGAACGACTGTGTGTACCCAACCATGAGACTATCCTTACTCACTTCTTGGACTTGGCTCATGGCCGGAGTGGACACTTCGGTTTTGAAAAGACATACGGAAGTCTATTGCAAAAGTTTGTATGGCCTGGGATGAAAGAAATGGCACAAAAGTTTGTGGATGAGTGTGTAATGACCCGCCAAAAACACAGACTGAGAACACTGCTGATTTATGGGATTTGTCACTGGAATGAATGCCTTGCTGTGATTCCCACATTCTCTGTTGTGGTTCCAAGTCTGTGTGTGTGCGTGCCTACTGGTTTGCATGCCTGTCCGAGTGCTTGCCGGTTGGGTACGTGTGTGTGTGACCTGCAAGGGTACTTGTTGGTTACAAGGCCCGTCGGGCCGGTACTTGCCTGTGGCCGTGATTTTGAAGGATTGCAAGGGGGTAAACACGCCGGTAGCGGGGGGTAGGCCCACGACACTTAGAACAGCTGGGGAAAAACACTCAAGTAGCAGGTAGGCCGAGCAGAAGAAGACAAAAAGTTGGCATTTTTAGAGGCCCAGTAGTGGTAGGTTAGAGGTAGGCCGGTACCAGTCCAAGTGGCCCGGGTCTAGGGCCTGTGCGGACGATAACAGAGCCTGCAATGATGTTTCCCTCCGAAAGGGAGGAGGTACCGGTTGCTGGGAGGCCACTCGGCCTAGGAAGTCACCCCCCAGGAGGCCGGTAGGCCATTATATCTTCAGGAAGAGCGGAGAGCTCTTCCTCATTTGCGGTGTGCAAGGATTGGCGTCGTGCTGCTGGAGCGCTAGCGCTGGTCTGCTACAGCGCTGGGCGGAGGTGAAGGTAGCTGGGAGCTCAGCCTGGCTATGGCGAGCACCCCAGCTTGAGGAGGAGGAAGAAGGGGGTAAGGTAGGAGAGCGGCAGGGCACTTACCTGGCTATGGTGGACACCGTCTTCATCACCTTGTTGGGCCTGCATCTGGAAGGCCCCAATTGGGGTAGTGCTGCACCAAGACATCTCGAGGCAGAGTCAGGCATACCGGACCAAGTCAAGTAGCGGCATACCTGCTTTGGGTTGTCTTTTGGACATCAGGGCAGCATCATAGTTGCCTCCCAGTAATCCGCCATGGCCTATGCATGAGAGAGGAGGTTGAAGGAGCTAAGCCATCGCCATGGTGGACTTGTTGTTGTTGTGGTTGTTGTGAGTTGAGTCAGCAGTAAGAGGGAACTTCGGATATTGATTCTGGTACATCCATTCATTGCTATTATTATTGTTGAGAGAAGAATAAGATTGGTGGATTGAAGGAGGAGGAGGAAGGTGGAGAGAGAAGGGGGGAATTGTCATTGGTCTTGCTGGTGTACTTCTTCTTCTTCTTCTTTTTCTCTCCTCCAGTCTTTATCTCTTTGCAAGTGCTTTCATTTCCTTCGCAATTGGGTGGCATTGTCTTTCATTGTGAATTTGCACTTGGGAAATGACCAGGATCGTAACAATTGGTATTGGAGCGGACTTACTTGCTGGCGAGAGGTGATAGTCACCCTAACCCTAATTCCGACTTAGGTTAGGGCTAACCTAATCTCGGATTAGGGTTGGAAGTTAGGGTTAAGTGGGGCAGCGAGGTATGGGGATGCTGCCCCCACCTGGTTAGGTCATGCAGGGTCGACATTGGACCCAACCAGGTTGCTTGAGTGGATGTATGGGGTGGCGAGACACAAAGGAGGCTGTTTGGAGTAAGCGAGAGGGAGTAGAGAGTGAGAGGTACTCGCACCTGGAATCTGGACTTCAGGAAGACATTGAGCGACTTTTGGGCTTCCCCTCAAGAGGGAGACTTGATCGGAGGCTGCCATATCTGCATTGGATTGCTGCAAGTTGCTACTTTGGTCTTCAGGCATCGACGGGGGATCCGGCTTTGCAACAGAGGTGTAGGAAGGCCCTCTTAGTCATGCTAGATCACTTCGTGTAGTGGTAGCTAGGGGTCAGGAGGACTTATATGAGAGGGGAGTGACTCGTTATCCATCTTTGGAGACGGGGCCTCACAGGTAAGTGCCATGTGACCTGGGTAAGCCCATGGGAGGTTGCTTGGTGCTTCATGGCCTGTTGGGGGTGTGCTGGGTTCTCTTCCTCTTCTCTACGGTCTTGGTTGTGTGTGTGAGCTTGCAGATTGCTTTCTCACCTGATGGATGGATGGATGATGTATCTGCTCTAAATGACATATCTTTCTACGGTGCAATGTCTTTTCATTTCTGATTGGTAGTAGGGGTAAGTTCTTGCTGAAAGTTGTCTTTTCCTTTTCAGTGCGGTAGATACAATTTGGGACTGGCTTGGTACCCCTGTCTCGTTAGACCTGGTCCACGACCTACTTGGGACCTTTTGGGACCAGTGGGACCAGGCCCAACAGGACAGGACCCTTCGGRCCCAGATCTGCTGCCGCTAGTGCATTTCTTTGCTGTGCTGAATCTAGGGGACACGCGGACAGCAAGGGCATTCCTTTCAAGGGGATCTTGACTGGTCTTACCGCATGTGATCACATACTGCCCCGCGTCTGGCTCGGCGACCGTCTGCACCCCT